TCTCTCTCTCTCTCTCTCTCTCTCTCTCTCTCTCTCTCTCTCTCTCTCTCTCTCTCTCTCCCTTCCTCCCTCTAACTGAAATAGGGTCTCTTGCTGTGTGGCCCAGGTTGGCCTGGTACTTGCAGCAGAACCCATACCCCTCCTCCTGAATACTGGGTTTATATACTCACCAAACCTATAGGTTGGTGCACTTATTAGTCCCTTTGAGGTTTGCAAAGTCTAAATTTCCAGAAACAAAGTCTCTCATGCAGGTAGAAGAAGCAAAAATGGATTCCAATCTCTGCTCCCTGGCTCCAGTATTAACCCTTTTCAGGATATCCTATCTCTACTGCTCAATACATATTAATCCTCTTATAAAAGTGGCGACAGTGCAGATGAGCAAGAATGAACAATGGGCAGAGGTGTACATACTCCCTAGATAGGCATCTTTATGCACCCATACCCATGTATGGACACATACTTCTTGTGGTACTAACATCAACTTTCTTCAGTGCATTAATATACCAGTGTCCAGTCTTGATGGCACCTGGGCCTCAACTGTATCAGATTTACTCTGACTGATGAACCAGATTGGCAGGTACCACTGAGATAGCAGAGGGCAGAGAAGACACAATGGATGTTGGGTCCTCTGCCTCTCAAGGGCTGACTCACAAGGCTGTGATTTTCTCATCTTATAAAACATTGGCTTGCACTAGGTGCCTCCCAACCCGAATTCCCCTGGATTCTAAGCCAATCCTTCTATTGTACCATGATCCATCATCTGCTTGCCTGGGTAGGCTCATTAAATATTCTGTCCTTTGAAATTAAATTCAAGTTATTGCCTTACATTTCTTTTCACTTGGATGTAAGAAATATTCGGTTCAGACAGGAGTAAGAGCCAACAAGGGGACAGGAAGGAGGACAGCTTAAAATGAGGGGCAAAAATCAGGGGTGTGCCAGCTGCCACTGAGTCAGGGTAGTGATGCTACTGTGTGAAGCCAGAATGGCCTAGAAAGGCTACCACAACTCTACCAGCTCCTAGACTCTCATTCGTCCTGTCTCCAATGAGCCTCCCCTCCCTTTAGAGAAACAAGGTTCAACAAAGCAAGAGGCTGGCCTCAGACTCACATAGATCACCTGCCTCTGTCTCCTGAGTGCTGGGATTGAAAGCGTGCACCACCACCATCTGGCTCATTTACTCTTTTCTAGTGAGACATCAATAATAAATATCTTTCTGAGGTGGTAGCTGATCTCGATGGTCTTTGTGAGATGCTACTGTGGTATACCATGGCCAGGGCCACAGGAACAGGTGATGACGTAGCTCAACAGCCTTGCCTCAGACCTCAGGTTCAGGTATTGGTCTGGGAGCAGAAGTGGACTCTAGATATTGATTATTGATTATCTGCTTCTCTCTTTTCCAGAAATCTTCTCTACGTCTACCCACAGAGACTGAACTTTGCTAACAAACTAGCATCTGCCCGGAACATTACAATAAAGATCCAGTTTATGTGTGGAGAAGACCCCAGCAATGCCATGCCAGTAAGGAGAGGATAGTGTTTGGTGGGCTGTGCGCTACTTTGTCAGTTCACAGGGGTGAAGTCTTAAGTTCTCAGTATGTCCACCACCCACCCAAGGTCTCATGTTAGATGATGCTTTACCAGTGAGGTGCATCCAGCTCAACGTACAGAGTATTCTGTTCCAGCATAGCCTACATAACAAACGCAGAGACCTTTCTGGCTAGTCCAGAATTGTCCCTAGGATGATGGTGGGGAAATGGCATCTGCCTTAAGTCTCTTTCCCAAGTGATGCCGTTGTGAGATGTCACAGCTTGGAACTGAAGACCATTTTAAGGGACTGAACGGTCTGGTAGGGTCTCTCCACATTGCCCGTGGAGCCATGTCATTCTAATACTCTTCAAATTAGGGGGTGAGGTGGCTCATTGCTCATTATTTGGCTAAATTTCTTCCACATATGCTCTTTGGTGAGTGTGAGACCATTTACAAAAAAAAATATGAGCCATAGCCTATTAATAATGACACCACCTCAACACCTTTCAGAAATGGACCTTTATCCTGAGGCAGACTATAAACCAATACTACAGACTAGAATAGAATTATCTAAGAAGCCCAAAATGCCCAAATTTGCTAGTTGGACATGGTTGGTTAGATATTACTATTTGCACAATATTCAGCTAAGATTGCAGCTACTAATAGGACCCTTGTTTAGCATGTATGGAACTCCTGGGTTGTGGGAGCCATGCCTGAGCACAAAGTGAAGGGAGGGAGAGGTGTTGGGTTTTTTGCCTCATATCCTTTTCTGGTGAAAGTAATTTCCTAGTACTTCCTTTCCTCATATATCTACTTTCCAAAAAGTCACCCCTCCTTCCAACCTGTTCTCTGATGCAAGGTGTCCTTTTGCAACAGTGTCAGGAGAGGTGGAAGAGGGGGGATGCTTGGAAGGAAAGGAAGGTCTGGAGGTCTCCCCTTGTCCTCTCTGCCCTAACCCTGGCAGATTCCCCATTCCGACTTCCAGGTGTGTATGTGCAGACCCTGTGTGTGACCAATGTATTCAGCCAGGGGACAGTGGTGGTAAATCTCAGCCAGCTCTCCACTCACCAAGCCCTGGCCCTGGTCTCTGGTCTGCTGCATCTAGAGGAAAAGGCTCTTCTTTTGCCCAAGAGCAAGTCCACTAGTCAAATCATGTGCTGTTGGTGCTGCAGCAGACCCCAGGAGGCATCTGCACACAGGGGGCCAGGGCAGTGGAGACCACAATCTCCTACATGGCCAAGTCCTTCTCCTCAGAGGGGAAAAGATCCTAGTATCTCACTAAGGACAAATGAATGTGATGTCATCATGTTATGTCTGTGTACTGAGACAGTAAGGTGACCTCTGGTTTTCAAGTCTCACACCTGTGCCCTTGGCCACTAGTCAGTCTTCATCCCCACATTTAGTCTGTGTGATCATGCCAACTGTAGGACTTACCCCTAACTTATAAACTACAACTCTCTGAGAACATAGTATCCTGTTGATGTGATGGCAGATGATTTGATAGAGTCAAAAGTCACTTTTAACTTGGTTCCTTCACATTGATAAACAGGTCATCTTTGGGAAGTCCAGTGGACCTGAATTCCTGCAGGAAGTGTACACAGCAATTACATACCATAATAAGTGAGTATATTTTAGAGTCTTGAACACATGCTGCAATTATTTAAATATCTCCCAGGTTTTAGGGGTTTGGTTTTGAACTTCGTGAGTGCTTTTCCCAACAGTTTTTGCAACATAGGGACTGGGTGTCAGAAGAAGTTTATATTCTTTTTAGAATTCTGTGTTGGCAATATATAATTTTTGTAAGTAATAAGGCTTTGAGGAAGAAAAGATCTTTAAGAATTGAATATTATTTGATTATTTAAAAATGGTGGTAAAGAGATTATTTAGTGTGAAGTGAAGAAGAGTATTTTCTCACTTTATTTGAGAGCCAAAGAGGGCCAGAAGCAAAGCCCAGCTCTCTTTGGTCATCTCGTCATTTTCCCCTAACCTACTTTAAGCCAACCAAAGGAAAAATGGTCTATTCATTTGCATCAGTAAAGTGAGTGATGGGTCTGTCTAACCTTGTTCACATGTCACAGGTTGAGAAGGACATCTCTGTGATGTCAGGTATGGTTTCCTCTCACCTGATAAGTAGACTCCTTAGGGGCCTCATGTAAACACTTGCCATGGGGACTAAATGGGTAACACATGGGAAGCTTAGCATAGTCCATTGATGAGGACAGCCACATGCCAGGCCTTCTCTTGGGGCTGAGACAGGAAGAGAGGTCAGGTTCAGCACTCTGAACCTGAGGATGCTCTTCCCAGACCAAGTTGTGTTTTCCCACTGTGTGGGTAAAGTCCTTTCTCTCTAACAAAGCCTTCAGACTGTGAGTGTTTTTATGTAGGTGGAATGTTTCTCATAGTCTCAGCTTGGCCTCAAGGCCTTACAGCTTAGGAGCAGGATAAAGTAAATGAAAAGCCCACAGCACACAGGTGCTCGGGAACAGAGGGTGGGTGGTGCTATGCCTCATACTCAGGGAGTCATCCTAAGAGATTTGTGTCCAATGTGCTTTTAATACAGGTCTCCCGACTTTTATGAAGAAGTAAAAATTAAGCTCCCTGCCAAGCTCACGGTGAATCACCACCTCCTCTTCACCTTCTACCACATCAGCTGCCAGCAGAAGCAAGGAGCCTCGGGAGAAAGTCTTCTGGGGTATTCGGTGAGTTGCTTTCAGCTTGCTGCCTCCCCCTGTAATTGTTGATGGAGCCAAGGTCCCTGCAGAGAGTCTACAATCTGTTCTCTTGCTTGTCTCCCTGTGAGGAGCTATAAAATGTGCTAGTCTGGATTATAGCAGAGAGTAGGAATGTCTTTGCTAAGAGAATGACAGGTTCCTCAAATGAAAAGCTGCTGGGTTTAATGAATATTCATTTATTTAAGGGGGAAAAAAGCATTGCAATATCTGTTATTTCCAAATTTAAGTGCTTCGTATATATTATTAGCTCTCCAGGAGAAAAAGCTATTTCTTTAAAAAACATGAAAGGTAAAATGAACATTGATATTCAGACAGGAGCTAATACTAGCCATTAAAAAAAATGCTACTACTGTGGCCCAGAAAACAGCAAATCATTGACATTACCATCTCAGGAACTCTCAGGGAATTTACAATGCAAAGAACTGGCTTGAAAACTGCTGCTGCCAGGAGACCTGGTCAATATCTAATCATTGTTTAGTGTTGTCTGATGGCTCTGAGCTAGATAAATCGCCAGGGTTATGTGCAGCTATAAAAACCACTCTGCTCTTGACATCATCTGTTTCAGTGGCTGCCGATTCTCTTAAATGAACGTCTTCAAACCGGATCCTATTGTCTCCCAGTTGCCTTGGAAAAACTGCCACCCAACTACTCCATACATTCTGCTGAGGTAACCAGCGCTGTCTGCCAGCTGCTTCCTGTCGAGCTGTGGTCTGGGATCGCTTCCCCACACCCACTTCCCATTCCCAAGGATGTGTGTGAAGTCTGAGGCTACTTGCGGGGTTCTGTGGGGTTGTCATCTCTAGGCACCCTGTGTTCTCTAAGAGCACATTGTTCCGACAGGATGGGAGGCGTATTTGGCAGTGAAAGAAATGTTACTCACTTAGACATCACCACATTAGAATGCTCTATAGATGCAAAGCGCACCTGAGGCAATGCTACCTCTAATTGTCTGAACGTCACGGGTCTGTAGATTAGGAGACAGTTTGATCCCACTTGTGATAGATGCTGCACCTATCAAGCATCCTTTTGGAATGTTTCCAGGCCTGAATCGGCAGTTCTTCTGGTGGGCCAGTGGTCACAGACAGGGTGGATGGACTATAAAGATGTCAGTTGCAGAGCCCCTGCCCTTCCTGCCTTGGCTATTCCTCTTGTCTTTGCAGTGTGTGGCAATGCCGGAGTCTAAAGATAGTCTCATGACTCTAAGCCCACTATCACATTTCTCACCCTTTTAGAATCGGTTTACATCAATGAGTGTTATTTTTGAGCAAGTCATCTTACTCATAAATATTTTATCATGTATCATGAAAATACGACTCTTTTTCTAGCCAACACAGTATCATTGGTGGACCTTAAATTTTAACACAATCCTGAACACCATCCTTTATCAATTCAGCAACCACCTTTCTGTTCCCCACAAGGATCATGTTTTTACACTTGTCTGAATTGGGGTCCAGATGTGGCCTGTGTGGTGTTGGTTGACATACCCTGTAGTTCTTCCTTTAATTCTTTTGAACTTTAAGTGGAAGAAATTTCCAGGACCCTGAATTTAGATAGTCCCTTCACAGTCTTCCTTCCTTGTCATTTTCTGTCACCCCAGGCTAGCTCTTTCCCTCTGTTTTAAACTAATGCTTTTCTCCTTGACACCCCAGGATGAGGACATCAATATCCCAGTTCATCTTTATGTCCTTGGCATACAGTACCTTACACAAACCCTCACAACTGCTTTTCCAGAGCCAAGCAAGGTGGTGCATGCTATAATCCCAGTATGGGTGAGGCAGGAAGATCGCCAAAGTCTACAGATGAGTGAACCATCATTAAAAACCAAGAAAAAACAAATCCTGATTTTCAGCTTTTAAGCTCCATGGTCTTACTTGATAAGACTCCTATGTTTTTTTCAAAAGCATAGATAAAACCTGAGATTTTGTTGTTCCTTTGTTGAAATTTTTAAAACACAGTTTTAAGACAGGCTCTCATTTAGCCCAGGCTGTCCTCAAATTCACCAAGTAGACAAGGATGGCTCTGAACTCCTGATTGATCCTCCTACCTCTACCACCCTACAAACATGTGCCGCCACACCAGTCTAAACCTGAGTTTTTAAGACAAATCCCCAAATACCAATCTTCTACTCTCTAACTGCATGAATGTGGGCACATTAGCTACCGTCTCTAACTCTCACAGATGAAATGAAGCCCATATCTGACTATAAGGTGCAGTGGACAGTAATTGAGTAGGTGCTTATCAAGAGATACATAATGCTGAAGCAAATATATTTTCTTATTTCTACCTATAGCTTCACCCTCAGCCACACATTGCCTTTCACTATCAAATACAGCAGTAGCAGGTGGCTAGTGAGATCTTAAATGGGCTAGTTCTGACTCAGAGCTGTTAGTGTAATATATGGGCTAGATTTCAAAGTCTTGGTATTGAAAAAATAGAGTATTTTATTAATAATTTTTTGACTTCTCAATGAAGAAAGAGTGGGCCATACTGTGTTAAATGAAATAGTCTATTGAAAATGCTCTCACATGTTCTTTAATGTGGCTTCTCAACAATTTAAAAATTTTGAAGCTGATGAGATGACTTAGTGGATAAGGATACTTGCCACCAAGCCTGATGGCCTGAGTTTGATCTTGATCCTCAGGACCCACGTAGCAGCAGGAGAGAACCAACTCCCTAAAGTTGTTCTCAGTCCTCTCTCATGAAAAAGTACTATTGATTCCCATTGGGTTTCTATTGACTGCCACTATTTTAGAATACAAATGCAAACTCCAGTGTCTACAGGAATCTACCAAGTCATTTAAATGAGGCTGATCCACAGTCTGGAACTGTGCAGGGAGACAAGGCTGGTGTTCTTGGATCTTCCAGCTCTCAAGTTAGAAATTAGTCTGTTATAAGAACTTTGCTGATTTTTAAACATTAACAAATTCACAACAATGTCCAATGCCCTGTGGGCCAAGTAGAGCTCTATGAGCTAGGGCTATAGTTTGTGCCTTTCAGAGAGTTCCATGGGTCCCCATTTCCTGCCACCACCCTTGTCCTATGCCTATAAACAGCATGTTTCCTATAGTTTTGATGAAAAAGGCACAAAACCCATGCTGGGCCCTCCTTGCTCTAGCACTGTCTGATCTCTCTAGGTCCTAGAGTCTACAGAAATGTAATACTGATGGGAGCTTGAAGCAAAGAGGTATCTCTGAGGCCTAAGGAAGAAAATATTGGTGGTCAATGAAATGGAAGAAGCATAATGAACAAGCAGGAACCATGCCAAGACTACCACTTAGAAACACTTTGCTAAAAATGAAGTAATTTCGGGTGTTCAAACCCATTCAAGTTTCCAATCTCTGTCCTGATATCCCTGATCAATGGGAAGGCCATTTAATTACATACCCAGCATCACAGATCAGCAGTGTTGCCTGAGTGCTTAGAGATGGGTTACCCAGCTAACTCTCCTAGCATCTGAACAAATGCTAAGGCCCAGGGGTGTGATTGACTTATCAGTGTGAAAATACCTAGTTTGGTGTAGAATCAAACTTGAACTAAAGAACTCTGACTCCTAGCTGTGAAGTTCTCTGTTTGTAGAACCTGCCATTCACAGACAAGTTGCTTGTTAACAGTTGGAAAGGGGAATCACCGTTGCTAATCTTTTTTTCTTTCTCTCTCTTTAACACAGAAAGTCCCTTTACAGAATCCCCCCATCAAGTGGGCTGAGGGCCATAAGGGGGTATTTAATATTGAAGTGCAAGCTGTGTCTTCCGTTCACACCCAGGTAAGGAATGTCAAAGCTTGTCACTGGATTATACATCTCAGTAGCCCCCTTTCTTGGCCTGTGGTACCTAGTGCAACAACTCTGCCTATGGAGTGAGTTGAAGCCTGATTTATTTTTTCTTTGATTAATAGTACTTAAGAGGTCCTAATTTAGCTGAGCAGTGGTGGCACACACCTTTAATCCCAGCACTTGGGAGGCAGAGACAGATGGACCTCTGTTAGTTCAAGGCCAGCCTGGAAAAAAAAGTTATATTTTGCACATCACATTCTACCAAAAAGTCCATTATCTTTGCTAGAAGTATCCGGGACTTGGACTTCTAATCTGAAGCACTGGCTAGGAGATTGCACCAAATTCCTGGGTGGATGTTGAAAGAATAACACCTCATGAGAGTCCTCTACCTTCTGCCTTCCCAGGACAACCACCTGGAGAAGTTCTTCACCCTTTGCCACTCTCTGGAGAGCCAAGTGACCTTCCCTATCCGTGTTCTGGACCAGAAGATCACAGAGAGCACACTGGAGCATGAGCTAAAACTCAGCATCATCTGCCTGAACTCCTCCCGCCTGGAGCCCCTGGTGCTCTTCCTCCACCTGGTGCTGGACAAACTCTTCCAGCTTTCTGTGCAGCCCATGGTCATTGCTGGACAAACAGGTAGAGGCCTGTGGTCTGGGAGGAAGCATGGCTAGGCCAGGCAGTTTGCCTAATGAATCTCAGCTTTCCACAAACCTACAAATGCTGTGAACAACCTGTGCAACCTTTGTCGTGAAGTCAAGTCCAGTGCTGTCTTGTCAGACTCCCTACATGTTTATAAAAGAAAGGAAGAAGGGCTAGAGTGATCCTCAATGATTAAAAGCATTTGTTGCTCTTGCAAAGGGCCTAGGTTCGGTTCCCAGTACTCATGTAGTTCACAACAATCTGTAACTCCAGTTCCAAGGAATCTGATGGCTCTTTTGACCTCCACAGGCACTGCATTCACATGGTACACAAGTATACATGCAGGCAAAATACTCGTATACATCAAATCAAATAAATAAATGTAGAAGATGTTTTTGGAAGAGGAGAAGGGAATGAAGAGGTGACAGGGAGAGAGAAAGAGAGAGCGTTAAAATGGGTTCTTAGGGCTGTTAGGATGGCTCAGCAAATGAAGGTTCTTGTCTCCAAGCCTGCTTGATGACTTGGATTTGATTATTGGTATTTACATGGTAGAAGGAAAGTACTGACGCCCATAAGTTGTTGTCTGAACTCCACATGCGCGCGCGCACACACACACACACACACACACACACACAGAGAGAGAGAGGGGGGGCATGGGGGAGAAAGAGATGTTAAAAATGATTTTAAATAGGATCCTTAATATTAAAGTTTTTGGAGGTGAAGCAGCAGTTCAGTTACTTGCTGAGGATACTTGGGGCTCACTTGGCCAGCCATCATAGCCTGCTTGGCAAGTTAAGGCATGTTATCAAAAAACAAAAAAGGTGGAGAGCAATTAATTGAGGGAGACATCTAATGTCAGCATCTGGTCTCTGCATGCACATGCACATGCACACAGGAACATATGTGCACACATATGTACATGGCCAGGCAGGGTGGTGCACGCCTTTAATCCTAGTACTCAGGAGGCAGAGGCAGGCAGATCTCTGCAAATTCCAGGCTAGCCTGGTCTACAAATAGAGTTCCACAGAGTTGTTGCACAGAGAAACCCTGTATCAAGAAAAAAAACAAACGAACAAAACCCCACAAATATACACATGGAGACAACGAAGGACTTAGTCAGCAAGCACTCGTTTGGAAACTGCTTCTGCTTCATCTAATGTTATGGAAGGCACAGTGTGGGAAGGAGGAGGCAGAAAAACTGTGAGAAATACACTAGGTCTTGGAATGGTTTCCTGCCTTCATGGAGAGGCTAAATTTACCACCAGGCACAGCTTCAGATGGTATGATTTGGATTCCTATCACTGTGGGGCATTGTAGGCTTCATGCAGGAGACTGAGCGTAAAAGGGGTGGTTTGACTTTGTGGTCACTGTGATTTTGTGGGAAGAGGCAAGGAAGCCACTCCAGGTGAGGACGATAGCATTAGCAAAGTCACGAAGGAGGAAAGACCACAAAATGGGATAATCTGATAACTACTTCACTAGGACATAGCTGAATTTGAGCAGAAACAGAAACAAAGTTGGCTAAAGCCAAATGATGAAGGGCTTGGAGCATCAGACCGGTATGGTATAGAAAGTTTGCATGGACCTGCTGTGGGGAATGTCATAAGCTGTATACATTTTTAAGATTCGTCTCTATGAGAATCTGTTGCAGGACAGATTTATAGATCGCTCTCGAATCCCTTGGGCATCCTGTGGAAATGTAGACTGATTCAGCTGATCTGGGGTAGTGTCTAAGGATAAAGCCCAAGGTGATGCTGACACTGTCAATCTGCAGGACGCATAGCGTAGCCTGTTTTCAGCTGAGTTTAGAGAGTGGTGGCATGTGGACATGGACACAACCTGGTTGTGGGAAACTGCTCCTAGCAAAGGCAGAAAAAGGAATAGAATGTGAACCAGGCATGGTGGGTTATGATACTGGAGGAGTACAATGAGTTCTAGACCAGCTTGAGCTACACAGAGAGACTGTGAGCATGTCTGTGGTGAGCAAAGCTGGAACACTGGAGTTGCCTGAAACATAGCTTCTTCCCACATCATTTCTTTTGCCTAGCTAAGGTGGTCAGTACTGTTATCGGCCTGAGAACATCTACCTCAACTTGTCGTTTCTTTTGGCTCCTCAGCAAACTTCTCCCAGTTTGCCTTTGAGTCTGTGGTGGCCATTGCAAACAGCCTGCACAACAGCAAGGACCTGAGAAAGGACCAACATGGGAGGAACTGCCTGCTGGCCTCCTACGTGCATTATGTCTTCCGGCTGCCTGAGCTGCACAGGGATGCACCCAAGTCAGGTAAGGTTTCCTGGGGGGACAGTACCTAGCAGAGTACCACCTCATACCACTGCCATGGGACTAAAGGTTCAGTTTTATTTCTCAAAGTAAAACTTATATAAGTGCTGAAATTAAAAGCGTCTAGATGTTTCTCTCTCTCATCTCTCTTTATGCTGTACTAGTCCGTAATTTCTCAGTGACCTTTATCCCATTACCAATTCATGATTCAGTTGAGGCTCTGCTTTAAAAGATTGGAGAACTGTTGACTGTGTCAGATTCTAGAATAATAGTTACAAACAAAAAACAAACAGTATCTATCCAATGGCAATGACACACTGAAAGTTCTGAAACTTTAATTATATAAGAAAAACTTCCCATTCCCCCAAGCTAAGTTAATAATAATTCACCTCACTGTTCTTCTTAGTTATTTACATAGGCAATAAACCATAATGTCTGGGTAGCATGATATAAAAATATCATCAATGAACTTTTAAAAATACCACATCCAAATAAACCTTGCACCTCTTTAGTCTCTGCGGTCATATTTTACGTAAGTCTGTAATTTCAGTCCAATTTTCAAACAAGACTTAGACTCACTCTGATACATTGCATATGCCTGTCCTCAAGCAATGAGTGTGGATGACTCATTCTGAGCAACCTTCCTCCATAAATATTGATCAAACAAAAATACTCATGTTTCTGGTTCTGCTGGAGATTTCAAAAACTCTGGCAACCTTGGGGTCTGGTTCTTTGTGGCAGTGACAAATTGGTCTCCAGTTGCCCACCTCTCAGCCCTCCCCACTTCTCACCACCTCACTCACACCCTGCCACTTTGACCAGCATTGCCTCCCTGCCCCTCACAGCTACAGAATAATGAGGCCTCTTTCCAAGGCCCCATCTGATAGGTTTGCATTTTAGCTCTACTCCTCCCTCAATGGGTCCTTCTCAAGCTCTGTAACTGAATCTGTCCTTTCTGTTGGCATGTCTCTGGCTGCTGGGGTACAGGTGGTCCTGCCGCCATCCCCGACCCCCGATACCACACCTATGGACGCACTTCTGCTGCTGCCGTGAGTTCAAAGCTGATACAGGCCCGTGTGATGAGCAGCAGCAATCCAGACCTGGCTGGGGCACACTGTGCAGCGGACGAGGAAGTTAAGAACATCATGTCTTCAAAGGTAGGGGCATGGCAGCCCCAGAAGGCCATGCACACTTGTTTTGCTTTTTAGCTGATGTATACCATACACGTTTCTGGATAAAGTATGGTATTTTGATAAACAAGTACACTGTATGGTAATCAGGTCAGGGTGTTTAAGACATTTAGACATCATTCCTTTGTGGCATGAATGCTAACTAACATACTTGTCTTGCCTAGCTATTTTGAATCCTTTGTTACAGTGTCATTAGTGGCAGTCCCCCTGTGTGATAGCACTTGGAGCTTTTCTCCTGCTGAGCTATGGCATTGTAAACACTCCTTGTTTTATTTTGAGCTAGGGTCTCATGTAGGTCTTCAAAAGTACTTTCGATGTATTGTTTATCCTTTATAATTGGCACAGAGCAGTTAGACACCTTCAGTGGATACAGTATAATATTTAAATTCACTTACATAGTGTATAGTGATGAGACCTAGGCAATCTAGCATGTCAGTTGCTCAGATACATATATCATTCCTTCATGCTAGAAGTGCTCAAAAGTCCTTATTTGTAACTATTTTAAAATATGCATTTAATTGTTGTCAACATAGCTGTAGTGACTCAGTTTCCTTGTTGTTAGTGTTTTACATTAGAATGGTACACTTATCACAGCTTATGAACCAATATAAATGTGTAATTATCATTAACATAATTTGCATTTCCTTGATTTTCCCTAATGTCTTTTTTTTTTTCTCTTCTGAGATCCTCTCCAGGGGTCCACACAGCATTTTCCAGTCTTGTCTCCTTAAACTTCTCGTGCATATGGCAATTTCTTAGACTTCCCTTGTTTTTCATTATCTTAACAGTTTCAATGACTCACAGATGTTTTATTTAGGATTTTGAAAACATGCAATTCACATGCCATAGAGTTCATCCCTCTAAAGTTCATAATCCCATGGGTTTTATCATATCCAAAAAAGCTGCAATAAGTGTGTTGTCATTGTTATTGCTTGACACAGAAATGAGCAAATGCTCCAAATGAGGTGTCCTCACCCCCACCACCCAGAGAGTGGTTTTAAACAGGGGCCAGCACTACTGTTTTCTTATTGGCTAGGTAAGACATGATTGCGGCTGTTGCTGACAGCCTTGATTTTAAATTTTCTTTAATAAAAAAGAAAATATTAAATTTCCAGATATGCTAAGGTAATATTTTTCTGGTTATTTTGTAGTAAGGGGTTGACAGTTGATGTTTGGTGTAGTACAACTTTGAACCATGGCAGGGCACTGTTCTCCTGCTTTTTCCCTGTTCTCTCAAAACACTGAAGGAACTGTATGGTACCTGAATCTTTTAGTTGTTGTTTTAGATTTTTGTTTGTTTGTTTTTCGAGACTGAGTTTTTCTGTGTAGGCGTGGGTGTCTTAGAACTTGCTCGGAAGACAATTTGGCTTCGAACTCAGAGATCTGCCTATCTCTGCCTCCTGAATGCTGGGATTAAAGACACGCACCAATCACTGCCCCACTGTTGTTAGGTTTTTTGACACAGGGTTTCTGTAAACCCAGATTAGCCTAGAACTCCGTATGTAACTCCTACAGACCTTAAACTCACAGCTATTCTCCTGCCTCAGCCTCCTGAATGCTATAAGTATGAGCCACCATGACTTGATTCCCTTATGCTGACTTTGTCAAATATTCTTATAAAACATTTATTTAATTTGCACGTGGAAATGTTTCTGCATGTATGTATGAGCATACCAGTTGCCAGAAGATACCAGAAGAGGGTGTTGGATCCTCTGGAAATGGAGCTACATTTGGCTATGAGCCATTATGTGGGTGCTGGTCCTCTGTAAGAGGACCAGCTGAACTCAGGTCCTCTGTAAGAACCTCAACTGCTCTTAAACACTGAGCCATCTCTCTACCTCTGTCGAAAGCTTTCATAGTCCTTTTACGGAGATGATCATGTGATTCTTTAAAATTAAAACTATTAATGTGGAGTTGGTGTTTATGCTTTGTCTTGCTTTTTAATTGGCCATATTCATTGCACACAGTGATGGGTTTTTATAAAGACAGTTTCTTTCAAGTATCTCATGTGCTTTTACCATCACCCCTCAATACCCTTCTCTCCATCTCCATTCCCTTTATCCCTTCCACCAGTCTGCTTCTTCCCTTCTGCTTTCATTTCATATGTATTTAAGTGGATTTGTGTGTCTATGTACAACCTTGGCACCACACATAAGAGAACATATACATTTGTATTTGTCTGAGTTTGGCTTGTTTCACCTAATATGATGGTCTCCAGTTGTATCCATTTTCTAGTAAACAATAGAACTTTGTTCTCTATGGCTGAATAAAACCTCTTTGTGTGTACACTTACAACGCCTTCTCTACCCCTTTGTGAATAGACAGGCCGTTTGCACTGCTTGACTCTTACAAATAGTGATGCAATAAATTGGACATGCTCATAGCTGTCTAGTATGTGACTGAGAGTCTTTCTGGTACATAGCCAGATGTGGTCTAGCTGAGTCAGAGGGTAGTGCTCTTTCAGTCTTTGAGGGCCCACCATACTGATTTCCATAATGGTTGGGCCAGTTTACATACCAACCAGTGGTATAAGGGTTCTCTTCCATCCGTCTTCAGAAGCACTTTGCTGATGTTTCTTTTCTTTTGGGGGCAGGCAGGGGTTGCACAGGTTTCAAGACAGGGTTTCTCTGTGTGGCTCTGCTTTGCTGAAATTCACTCTGTAGACCAGGCTGGCCTCAAACTCACTAAGATCCACCTGCCTCAGCCTACCAAGTACTGGGATTAAAGGCGTGTGCCACCATCACCCAGCATGTTTATTTTCTTAATGACAACTGTTTTCATTTTGTATTAATTCTTTGATAATTTAACACAAACCCTTTGATGATATTCACCCCAGATCCTCCAAGGTCCCCCATTTCTCTATCCACACCAAACTTCATGTCCTCATTTTCTGTGTTTTTTAAAATAACCCACAAAGTCAAGTTTGTGCTGCCCATATACCTGTACTCATGGTGCAGGGTCATCCACTGGAGTATGATTGACCTACTTACTTATCAGAAGCCGCACTCATAAAGAAAGCTGACTTCCTCCACCCAAAGCCAACTGCCCATAGCTCCCCAGTTAGAGGTGACTTCTTAAGCTACTGCCTCCCAAAATGACAGCTCTTCTGATGATAGCTACTGTAATATGACAAATAAAAGATCCAGAGACAGATATAGGGGTTCAAGGTGAAGTCAGGGAAGCAAAGCAGCCAAGCTTTTAGAGAGGTCTTACCTCTAAAAGGGCTGGGATGTTCCTATTCTCTACATGGTTGAAGAATGAATGCCTCCTATCTTCAGTGTGCCTGGAGAATGAATGCCTGATACTGAGACCTTGCTGCTGTCTTATATACCTCCTAATGATGGGATTAAAAGTGTGTAATCCCAGGTGCTGAGATCATCTTTGTGTGAGCTCTTTCTCTTTAGGACTGGATCAAACATGTGTACATCTGCGTGGTCTTGGACTCACAGAGATCCATCTATCTCTTAATCCTGAGTTCTAGGATTAAAGGTGTGTACCATCATCTCCTAACTTCTGGCTGCTGTGCCTGGCTTCTTTAGCTTGTGGCTGGCTTTGCTTTCTGAATCCTCAGGCAAGCTTTAATAAATCATAAATAATAGATTATCACAAGCTACTGTGATGAGAGTGAGCTATAATTGCAAAGATTATTTCGGTATTGATGCTTCTATGTTTTCCTCTTCCTCCTCCTTTTTCTTGGTTCAGGGAGGCAGAGTCTTACGTAACTCAAGCTGGTCTTGGACTCCTGACCCACCTGCCTCGGCTTCATGAGTGTTGGGATTGCATTTTTCTGATGGCTAAAGATCCTGTATATTATTCATATTTTTATTGGCCTTTTATACTTTGTTTTTGAGAACTGTTTGTTCTTTAGCCCATTTATTGACTGGTTTGTTCCATTCTTTGGTATTTAGTGTCCTTATTATATTCTAGGTATTAATGCTCTATATATCCAAACATATAAGTAGCAACCTTTTTTTGTGGGTTGTCTCTTTAAAGTGTTGTTTACTTTGCTGTACAGAATCTTTTTAATTTCAAGCAATCCCATTTGTCAGTTCTTGGGCTTTTCTTTCTTTCTTTCTTTCTTTCTTTCTTTCTTTCAAAGTAGTTGCTGCTGTTTTGAAGTGTGTGCCTTACATCAAACAGTTTTGGAGTTTCTAGTTTATGTTAAATTATTCAACCCATTTTGAGTTGATGCTCATAGAGGGTAAGAGATGAAGATCTAGTTTCATTATGCTATATGTGATACCCAATTTTCCCAGCACCACTTACTAAAGAGGCTGTTTTTATCCAATGTACATTTCTGGCATCTTTGTCAAAAGTCACATGACCATGGCTTTGTGGGTTTATTTCTGGTTCTTCTGTTACATTGATTTACATGTCTATTTTTGTGTCAATATGACGCTGTTTTGTTACCATGCTCCTGTAGTATAATTTGAAACCATATATTTGTTGTGACACCTCCAATATTTTTTGCTCAGGATTGCTCTGGGTATTTGGGATCTTTTGTGCTTCCATATTGTAATTTTTTCTATTTCTGTGAAGAATGTCATCGGAATTTTGATGGGAGTACTATTAGATGTGTAGATTTCTTTCAGTATTAAAAATGTTTTCATTATATTAATTCTGCCAACCTGTGATCACAAAAAGGCTGTTTTCTATAAAACCATTCTTCCAGGCTTTAAATTTTCCATTGTAGGGGGTCTTTCACTGCTTTAGTTAGATTTGTTTCTCTGTATTTTAAGACTGTTATTTTACAGATTTCATTCTCAGTGAGTTTGTTATTGGTATATAGAAAAGCTACTAATTGTTGTATATTGATTTTGTTTCCCGGTGCCTTGCTAAAGGTAAACTCTCTGGAGAGTTTTCTGGTGGAGACAAAAATATCTTTTATGTATGCAACTATATTTTCTACAAATAGGAATAATTTGACTTTTTCCTTTCTTGTTCCATTTCTCTTAACTTAATGTTCTAGCTAAGACTACAAGGACTATATTAAATAAGAGTGGAGAAAGTGAATACTGTTGTCTTGCTCTTGATTTAATGGAAATGATTGAGTTTTTCCCCATTAAATACAATGTTGAATATAGGTATCTTGGGTTTCTATTGCTGTGGTTAAAACCACCATGATCAAAAGCAACTTGGGAAAGAAAGGGTTTATTTCACTTCCAGAGATGACAGTCCATTTCTGAGGGAAGTCAGGAACTCAAGCAGGGCAGGATCCTAGAGATAAGAACTAAAGCAGAGGCCATGGAGAACTCTGTTGCTTACTGGCTTGTTCCTCATGGTTTGCTCAGCCTGCTTTCTTACCATATCCAAGATTGTTTGCTCAAGGGGTGGCACTGCCCACAGAGAGCTGGGCCTTCCCACATCAATTGTTAGTGGAGAAAATTCCTCCACAGGCTTGCCCTTGCCACTGTGAAGGGTCATTTTCTCAACTGAGGCTCTCTTTTCAAGTTGACATAAAACTAGCCAGCACAATCGGTTTGGAATTATGTCTAGCCTTTATTATGTTGATGTGTTTCTTTATTCCTAACATTTCCAGAGACTTTATCATGAATGGTTATTGAACTTTGTCAAAGGCCTTCTCTACATCCATTGAGGTCACGTGGCTTCTGTCCTTGAGTCTATGGCTATGTGTATTACATGTATTGATTTAAATATCTGTACTGTCCTTGGCAGGAAGGCCACTTAGTCAGAGAATGATCTTTCTGGCACGCAGTGAATTTTGTCTTAAAGTATTTTATTGAGAACTTTTACATTCATGTTCTTCAGGGGAGATTATCTTAGAATTTTATTGTCGTTGTGTTCTTTTCTGGTTTGGGTGAAGGACAATACTGGCTTAACAGGATGAGTCTGTGGCCTCCTCCCTGTTTCCTGTTTCCTAAAGTAGTTTGAGGAATGATGTTCATTCTTGGAAGGTCTGGTAGAATTTAGCAGTGACTCCATCTGTACCTGAGCTTTTTTTTTTTTTAATTAGGAGACTTTATTACAGTGTCAATCTTGATGCCTGTTGTAGATCTGCTTAAACTGTTTATATCTACTGATTTGACTTTGGTAGATCATTTTATACCTACTAATTGGAAATTTGGCTTGATCTTATTTTTCTAAGACTTTGAGGTACATTACTAAATTATTCAATATTTATCTGAGTTAAGAAAAGTTTTAAAAATGCATCATTTGTATATGTGTGTGTGTGTGTGTGAGAGAGAGAGAGAGAGAGAGAGAGAGAGAGAGAGAGTGTATGTGTGTGTGTGTGTGTATGTATGTGTATGTGTAGGGTGTAGAGGTGCACAGACCACAGAATGCATATGGAGGACATAAGACAACGTTGTAGAATCAGTTCTCTCCCCCTGCTCTTAAGTAGGTTCCAGTGATCAAACTCAAGATGTCCAGTTTATACAGCAGGGACTTTTGCCCATGGAACTGTCTCCACAGAACCATGTTCTCAGCCCCTCCCTCCTGATTCCTTAGTGTCATATTCATCATTCAATAGAATGTTATTCAATCTCTGATAGTTTGTATATTTTCTGTATTTTCTCTTATTATTGATTTCTAGTTCTATTACACTGTGATCAGACAAAATTACAAAAAGTTCGACTTACTTTTATTTCCTAGGAAGACTTGTTTTGCATTTTGGGCAATGTGGCCTATTTTAGAGAAAGTTCTGTGGGCTATGGAGAAGAACGAGTATTCTGCATTTTGTGTGGATTCTGTGGACATATGTCAAGTCCGTTTGATTCATGATGTGAATTAATGCTGATGTCTCTGTTAGTTTTTTGTTTTTGTTTTGTTTTGTCTGCATGGCTGTTTATTGGTAAGAGGGGTTTTGATGTTACCTACTATTGTTGTATTTAGTTTAGATCTGTCCCTTTAAATACAGTGGGGTTTGTTTTATGAAATTAGGTGTGCTAATTTTTAGTACATATATGTTTATAATTGTAATTTTTCTTGATAAATTGTTTCTTTAATTAGTATGAAGTCACCTTCTTTATTTCTTCTTCCTCTTTTTTGGTTATTTTAAGACTGGGTTTCTTTGTGTAGCCTGGGCTGTCCTGGAATTCACTGTAAACCAGGCTGGCTTCAAACTCAGAAATCCACCTGCTGCCAGGCGTTGGTGGCGCATGCCTTTAATCCCAGCACTCGGGAGGCAGAGGCAGGCAGATCTCTGTGAGTTCGAGGCCAGCCTGGTCTCCAGAGTGAGTGCCAGGATAGGCTCCAAAGCTACGCAGAGAAACCCTGTCTCAAAAAAACCAAAAAAAAAAAGAGTGCATCTTATCTGCCACAGTCTCGTCAGCCATCAAGCCTCCCATGACCTCCTCCTTTCCTGACATTGAATCTTGGTCCTCACACACTACTTGTCCACTTCTCGGGAGCTAATGAGTCTCACCGAAGCCTGTGGAATTCCTTCCGTGTAGAACTCTGCATGGTTTGAAGTCTTCAGAGCTAGCTGTACAGGGAAGGCCTTGGCCTCTAACGGCCCCTCACCACTGACTCACATTCTTGGCACTGCTCCCATCAGGCTGGAGTAGAGGGGCTTTCCTAGCACCTGCTTGTTGTATAGACCACATGATTTCTGTCTGGACTGCATGTCTTCTCAGTGCTTTGTCCCATGTGGGTTATGCTGTTTGAATCTAAGGTTTGTGTATCCCCGCCTCCTTTGAACTCCATCTCTCCTCTTTGTAAGTACATATTCATCTTCTCCCTCTCTCTCTCCCCCTTTCTCTCCCTCTCTCCCTCCCTCCCTTTATTTCTCTGCCACTCTCACTCCCTTTCCCTCTCTCTCTCTCTCTCTCTCTCTCTCTCTCTCTCTCTCTCTCTTTGTGAATAGAGTCCTCCCCAGTCAGGAGCATTTCCAGAATGATCTCTGTTGTGTTTATGTATTTTTTCTTTCTTTATTTCTTTGAAACTAATGGGGTTTTGTTGTTCCTGTTTGTTTGTTTGGGGGTTTGTTTGTTTGTTTGTTTGTTTGTTGGGTTTTTTGTTTGTTTGTTTGGTTGGTTTTTGTCACCACCCTTGTAGGAGGGCTGCTCTCCAAACATCCTGCTTTATCCCCAGGGGGGATCCCAGTAGTTGAGCTTGGTTCCTGTGTCTTAACTACACTTTTACTCCATATCACTACACACTAAACTATTAACAGTGATTATCTCAGGAGCAAATAAAATTAATTTACTTTCTTTGCTTTGTTTTGTATTTATATATGTTTTGTATTTATATATAATATAATACATATATACTTATATATGTATTATTTTGGTTCTATTACAGAAAAGGACATATATTAAAAATGAGTTCTGAGGTGATTTCCAGGGAGCTACTTTGTCCTTCCAGTGTTTCACTATCAGTTGACAGTGGGTTATGGTTTATGTGTTTCAGATTGCTGATCGAAACTGCAGCCGGATGTCTTACTATTGCTCTGGCAATAATGATGCTACAGGTTCCACTGCAGCCCCAAGACCAGTCAGCAAAAAGGTACAGATGGGGTGGTATGAGGATAATCCCAGCACAAGAAAGGATTCATCTGTGTCTTCAAGTTACAGTTGAAAATAGACATGAAGTGCTCTCTGCCCTGTGTGTGTGTGTGTGTGTGTGTGTGTGTGTTGGGGGAGGGGGGCTTTCTCCATTGTTTCTAAATCAGTATACTTGATCTGGGTTCTAAAAACTTAGATTTCAAACAAGTTACCAGACATGGTGCTGATTTAAATAACCAGCTTTGAGAACCACCATGTTCACCTCTTTTTTAGGGGAAGGTAAGCTGGTGAAAGTTCATCCTTGACAAAAGTAAATGGCAAAAATAGATATTATTTCAATACTATGTGAAATCATATGCCTTCTTGACCAATGAATGAAATGAAATGAGACCAACTGCAGAATGAAACAATCTCAGTGATTCCTCTTGATGACCTATCGTCAGCCTTAACTCTGACATCAGAAGCCATGCAAAGTAGGGAATTCCTGAAACCAATTGAACTCCCCGGTCAGCACAGTGGATTTGGTCAAAAGAGATGTGAGCTGTCAAACCAGTGGTCTGTCAAGTGTTCTCTACTAGGCACGGCACCCAAGAATGGAAGCTACTTAAGTTGAGGTCATGATTATCTCACAAGATCCTTATTTAAGGGCAGACATACTAACTGCAGTTACACACAGAGCTGTTTTGCAAGTGCTAACAGCACAGGAAGATTTTATTACACAGGCAGGGAAAGCATGAGCCTCAAGATGGAGGAGTAAAGGATGGGGAGTGGAAGGTGCCACTGGGCCTGAAACTGTAGACTCTGCAGTAATCCAGGCACCAAATGTCAGCAAGACGTTCCAGAAGTTAACTATGAGAGGAAAAGGGAAAGAACGTGTGGTTAGGCCCAAAACTAACTTGTCACCTACTCTAAAGTTTAACATTAGGTTGTCACAGCCACCAGTTTCAAGTTTGGCTTTCCTTTAAAAACTGTATTATTTAAGGATGAGCACGGTGACACAGCCCTTAACCCCTGGCACTTGGAAGAAGCAGAGTGATTTCTGTGAGTTCAAGACCAGCCTGATCTATGTAGAATGTTCTAGTAAACCAGAGCTACATAGTGACTCCTGTCTCAAATAAATAAATAAAAATAAAAATATATAAAATAAAAACCTGAAGCAGTCAACATACTGACCTAAAAGTCTGACTTCCTTAGTGCATATCCTGTTTGGTTTTGCAGCTGGCTTGCTTTGACCTGGAATGACCAGAAGGGAGGCAGTTTTATTTCAGAGGGTAGCTTAGCCAGTGTGTTGCCTTTATAGCTCAGCAAACAGGGTTTTGCTGCTTGGCTGTCTTCTATAACCTCTGGAGCAAGGTGTTCTTACAATAACACTGTCCAGTAAGCAACATAAAATGACATTAAGAAGCAGCTTATCCTTGTCTAATCTCTTCCTGCCATAAGACTCTGGCAGACAGGCTGACCTATTTCTAGCAGCTAACTCCAAGGCTGGCAGAGAATGTCTTTCTTCCCATGGCAGGATGGACATGTAGCATGTCATCACGTGCACAGTTGGCAACAGCAGGTTCACACTAACCCTACCTTTCCCAGATGGCACAGGCTCAGACTCACATCAGCTAACAAATATGCTCCCTCGTGTTAAAATTGCGAAGGTTTAACCCACCTGGTAGAACGGAAATACAGTGGATGAGTTGAACTGATGGGGTGGGAGGGGGGTTGGGGAATAGAACACTCTGACATCTGCTCAGAGATCTTTCCACTTGTCTCCTTTCCATTTAGATAAGTACCCCTCAAATTTGAATATCTATAAAGCATTTACTATCAAGTAAAATTAATCATGTGCATGCTGTCCTGTGGGTAATTTTTAAGTTCGTAATGAGCAGTCATTGTTACAACCAGTTTTTGCTACTTCCACATAAAGATGCCATATTTGCGTGTTGAAATAGTTTTCAGTCTCCTAGTCACTGAGAAACAAGAGTCTGTCTGGGTTCATTCTCGGGGTTCTATGTATGTGTAAGATGAGTGAAAACCACAATTCTGGCCATTGCTTCTGCATTTAGTTGGTATGACACTGTCTTGATTTGTCCAGGACTGAGAAGGTCCCCATCATGAGGGTCTTTCAGTTTTGGGGGCAGAAAAGTACCAAGCAAACCAAGATGTGTTATTAGCCTTCCTTTTGATCCTCAGCTTCTTCGCCATCAAAACGGTTGTCTAGAGAATAAACAAGTACCCAGTTAGGTGGAAGAATGGGAAGATAAAAAGTTAAAATGTACTGTCTATGTAGCGTTTGCTACAGAGCAGTCAGGAAACTGGATGGGACGAGAAGGCATGATACAGCTCTGAGTGAATCTTCAAGCATCTGCCTCTGGGACGTGGGACTTTAGAAGTCTTAAGAGGTCTGGGTTGCCATGACCTGTGTGGCATTAGGACTGACCTCACTAGGGTGATGGGAAATGAAGAAACCACAGACACGTGTACAGGAAAGCTGGGATCCAGTGGGCTGTAGGTTCTAATGGAGACACACTAGCAGCCTGGAGACTCGGTGTATTTGTTATATAAGCTAGAGGAGGAGGCAGGTTAGTTAAGCATGGTAGGAAATCTCTGTAAGGAAGCAGTCTCAGGTTGCTGTCATCAGGGAGGAGAAAACTGTGGTTGGTACTTTCTGCACACACAGTCAACATCAGTGCTTGGACCGGGGGAGGTCTTACTATTTCATATAGTCCTGACATGGGGTCCTTGACATGGCTGTGCCCTTTGTCAACAATGTCTGTTCACTCAGGACTTCATCCTCTCCCCACACAGGGTTATACCACTGTCTCTGCCCCATTTTGTTTTGTTTTGAGACAGGGACTCACTATATATTCCTTCCTGGTCTAAAACCACTATGTAGACTACACTAGCCTCAAATTCAGAGATCTGCCTGTCTCTGCCTCTTGAATTCTGGAATTAAAGGTGTGCACCACCACACCCAGTCCTTTAAAAAATTTTTTTTTTTCAAGACAGGATTTCTCTGTGTAGCTTTGTAGACCAAGTTGGCCTTGAACTCACAGAGATCCTGCCTCTGCCTCCTGAGTGCTGGGATTAAAGGTGTGTACCACTACCACCACCACCACCACCACCACCACCACCACCACCACCACCACCACCACCATCACCACCCAGCCTAAAAAAAAAAATTATGTGTGTGTTTTAATGCAGAGATCCACTCAGAAACCCATCCCTCACATTTCCCACATGAAGCTATAGTGGGACTGCAAAGAAAAATTGTCCAACCTGGAAGGCATTTGGCTGTCATCCAAACAGTGGTCCTCAGGGTGTGGCCCAGGACCAAAGCACCAGCATCCCCTGGGAAACTCGATAGAACACAAATTCTCAGTTCCAGACCTTCTGAATCAGAATCTCTAAGGGTGGCACCAGCTAGCCGAGTATTACTAAGTCTCCAAGGGATTCTGATTCACATTCAAACTTGAGGATCATTGCTAACAACAGACCAGTCCTGTGGATGAGCAAACGAAGGGTAGAGAGAGGAGTGCATTGCATGGTCTGTGGGACTTCAAAGGTCATTGCTCTACAACACACAGCACCAGTTCCCAGTACTACCCAGGAGGGCTTCCCCAGAGAATGCAACTGTTATTCCAAGGCTGGGGATATGGTGCAATGGCATCCTATGCCCCTGCCCAAATGTTGTTTCAGCACTGATGTTGTCAGCTGTCACTTACAGCCTGGTAAGTTCAGAATTCATGCTTCTGAAACTAACCAGGTATTATGTTAGCAAAGAAGGAAAAGTGGCTAATACTTGCCATCACAGCCTGGTTTTTTGTTTGTTTGCTTGTTGTTTAGCATTTTCACGAGGAGCTCGCCCTGCAGATGGTGGTCAGCACTGGACTAGTGAGAGAAACCGTCTTCAAGTATGCCTGGTTCTTCTTCGAACTTCTGGTGAGATTCTCGCATTTGTATCTCTGCTCCTCAGACAAGCAAAGCACACATGGGAAAGGCAGTTTTCTGTGTCAGGACTGGCTGTAAACCTCGGAGTGTTCCTTGAAATGCAATTCTCCTTCACCCTCCATCCGTCTTCCTCCAAACATTATTGACTCCACCTTGAAAATCAATCCCCGTTTTTGCATCTCGTCACGCCTCTCACCTGGTCAGGCCACCATCATTTCTCATGTGCCTCTTGCAGCATCTTCCTTTCTCTTCCCCCTGTATTTTTTTTTTCTCACTATCCCATCTCTCCTGCCCCAAACAGCCAATCTCATCATGGTTTCCAGTATGCTAGAAATAAATTGCCATTTAAAAAAAAAATTCATAGCTAAAATATCCTTGTACAATCCTAATGTGTCCTTGTACAATCCTCTGTCTCATGCCAGGGCCCCCTCATTCAGCCATATTGTGCCCCTTTTAGTTCCTGGAAAGTACCAGGTCTGACCTTTTTTGTTTTTGGTTTTTGTTTGTTTTCCTTTGGTTTTTCAAGACAGAGTTTCTCTGTGGCTTTGGAGGCTGTCCTGGAACTAGCTCTTGTAGACCAGGCTGGTCTCGACCTCACAGACCCCCCCCTGCCTCTGCCTCCCGAGTGCTGGGATTAAAGGTGTGCACCCCCATTGCCTGGCTTTTTTTTTTTTTAATTCCCTCTCACAAATTACTTTTTATTACCTATCCCCATCACACTTCCGGCTCATCTTCTAACTCCAGCTTAAATGTCACCACCCACAGAGCCCTTCTTTGGCCACCTTATCCTGTAATGGGTATTCCTCTTTATGTTTATCCCCTTACTAGCACTTTACACAAACTGTCATCGTTTTTCTTGTCTCACCTATTGGATTTCTAGGATTTGGTCTGTCTTCATTATTCTGGCTTTCGCCTTAGCAAGCTGTTTGATACCATACAGACAATACCAACTGCACTAACACTGGTTGGAAAGAGTATGATATCTGTGTCTATGTTTACCCTACTACTGCTGTCCGTCTCCCAGCAGAACAGTGAAATGTACATGTATAGTTCCTCCATTTTAAAACAGTGCTACTGATACCTACTTGTAGTTCAGTACTAATGGACATGAAGAGATTCCGTCATAAAAAACCATTCAGAACAGAGACTGGGGAGGAGATGACTCAGTAAGAGCACTTGCTCTTCGAGATGAGAACCTGAGTTCGAATCCCTGGGGCCCACATATGAAATTAGGCATGGCTTCATGTGCCTGTCACCCCAGCATTGGAGGACAGAGATGGGTAAATCCAAAGACCTCATTGACATGCCAAATCTGTAACCTTTGGGTTCAGTGAAAGTCTCTAGATAATGAGGCAGAGAGCAGCAGCAGGAGACATCCAAAGTCCTGCTTTAATCTCCAGGTGTGTGGGATGTGTGCACATGACCACACTCTCACGTGCACACACCCATACACCCCACCACAAGGATTATAAGCATATACCCTCTTTTTATTGATGTAATGGGGATTATATTTGGGGTCTGGTGCATGCTAGGCCAGCATTCTACTACTGGCCTCTGTCCCAAACACAGTGCTATTTTGATATTGTTAAATGGAGATGCAGAGTGAAATGATATTAAATGGAAAAGGTACAAAGTCACAGGTGAGGAATGACTGGGACATGGGGGTGGTATTGCTTTATGTTGGTTGGGTTCCTTCCTCTGACAATAAGTGAATAATATTTTTAAGAAGAGGGAGTAGAATTTTTTTTTTTCTCAATGTAAATCCAAGGCTGAGGAAGCAGCAATACTGAGCAGTCAGACAGAGAAAGGAAAGGGGGTCAAAGGAAATGAAGATAACCACACATCGGAAGGAAGAAGGGCATGCCATGCCCTGAATTAAGAATCTAGCTTTTTACTACAGAAACAGTCTGGGATCTGAAACCCTGGAGTTTCAGCATCCCCTGGCCTAGTCTGAGAATGGCTCCAGTGCACTGACTCAGACCCCAGAATCGCACAGGAGTGCTTGATAGAACGAATGAGATTCTTCGGCTCCTTTTCCCTGTGGGAGTAGAGGAAACTCTGTGCACTCACCTGTCTTCCCAGGTGACCTCAAGACACACCTACAATGTACTAGTCCCCACCACCACCTCTTCCTGTGAGTCCTAACCCTAGCTAAAGGGCTTTGGGATTTTGAAACAATTCAGCGGCAGATCTTAGTCTACAAGCCAAGCTGGTTAAGGCTTGTGGCTACAACTTGTCAGCCTTTGGTTAATAGCATCATCAGGGTATACGTGAGCCCTGTGGTCTGGCACAGAGTGGACTGGCAACAAAACTCACTTGCCTCTTTTTCTTGAGGCACAGAGAGTATTTACAAAACCAAACCAACCAAGTCCTGTATGTCCGGCTTCTGCTTGCAGTTTCACCCACCATCAAGCTTCCCCTCAGAGAAGCTCCACTTGGCCCATGATCCATGTATACATAATTCATAAAATAATCCCAAATTCTAAATCAAAATCGCTGATTAAAAAAGTAAAGACGAGATCTGCCTTAATTAAAGGTGTCTTGGTTATTAATTCACACCTTTGCACTCACACGAGCACACTTGAACTACTCTTAGATCACAGGCAGCACTGTGCTTGTTGGGAAAGCCCAACTATGTGAGGGTTGCAGTGGCAACTCAGGGGCCTCTTGAATCCATCCTTGAAACCCTGAGACCCCTGCTTATCTCCACTTTACACGTCAGAGTTAGAGAGGTTTGCCAGCCTGCTCAGCCAGGGACAGGTGGAGCCTCATTCTCTAATGCTCAGGTCCATGTTCTTTCTATTTGCTATTTGCCTCTTGAGAAGCTTAGAGTTTCCAGACTTCTCAGTCCACCATACTTACTGACAATGGGCTAACCCATCCCGTTCAGAAGTCCTCGTTAGTGCAAAGTGTTATTTGGTTCCCCGTTATCGTGAGCTCAGCTCTAGTGGTTCCACAGGCATCTTATAGCTCCATTTTAAAGATGAGTTTGTATACGGTGTAACAATGACTCTGTCCTTCATGGAATCCCAGTAGCAGCTGGTATGCCTGCAAAAATAAAAATAACAACATCCAAAGTAAATTGAGCATCTTACTGTATGTATGCCAGGCACTGCTTTAAACATTTTTAAAGCATTGTATCCTTTAATCTTCATGCAGCCTTGAGTCAGGGTCCTTATGATTCTGAGTTTTTTGGTGAAGTTAGAGAAGAGTGCTGGCCAGAGAAAAGCCTGTCTAGGGCTTTGGCAGTACTGCTCCATTGCCCATAACTACAAGAGGCTAAGAATCACAGAAAAGGTGACAATTGCTTCTGATCTGGCATAAGTCTTACTAAGACTTGTTTGGCCCAAAAGAAAGTGACATCTATAGTGAAAACTCCCCTCTTAACTCTAGGACCTCTTATGCTGCACAGATGACATGGTTGAAAAAAGCTCTCATGGATCAAAGCACTTTGATGGGGTTGGTTAAAATGCAGACCCACCAAGACAGCGGCTACACAGACTGTGGCCACTCTGTCAGGGTCCAGGCAGCTGGGGAGCATTTATCGCCAGGCTTCTACCCAGGGTGCTAGCAATGTTACAGGAGCCAACAGAGATTGGTTAGGCACTCCCGATGCAACAGCTGCCTGAACCCTTTATTTATTTAGCCTCATTCTGAAGAATCACAGAGAGGGGACAGAGCAGTTGGGGCATCAAGAAATCTAGAGGCAGAGAAAGGGGTCCACATGGTAGGACCACTCTGCAGCAGTAGGAGTGACAAATGGCCAAACCTTTCACCATCCATCTCAGGCTACAGTCTCCCCTTCACGGTTACAACCAGAAGCCAAAGGGAGGAAAGGGAAGGGACCATTGCTACAGTGTACAGATGCCTAAACACTCACAGATGGAGAAGGGCAAGAAGCCATGTGGGGGGCTGTGGTCGAGGACCTGGAACAATCACTGGCCTCAGACCCAGAGGGGGCCCTCAGTCCTCCATGCATTGTTGCATACCACCTGGCAGATGCTCAGCTTGAAAAGAACTTCCCCCAAGGACTTAGGCAGCCGAGGGGCAGTTTGACACCTCCAGCTGTGCTGGCCACTGGTGCTAATGAACAATAACTTTGTCACAGGAGCTGCTAGTACATTTAGTTCTTGTGCATTTCACACATTTTAATGAATGAGCCCATGTGGCTAGAAACCACTGATTCAGCCCTTGAAGGACCAGAGGTAACTAGGTGACCCAGTTCCTCTGGACATGGCGTTCTGCACGAGGGTGTTCTGAAAGGTATCTGTTCTCAGAATGGGCCACAGAGGCAAATGTGGGAGAAAATGTTTTTCTATCTCACCAAACCCTGAAAATGATAGGTTGAGCCCCACTGATATTTCTGCTGGTTCTTCTGTGGAAAGTCAGGGATCCAAGAGCTGGTAGGTTACTGACTGACTGGACAGAAGCCATCAGAGGGAAGTACAGCATTGTAAGAATTATTTATTTGGTTGTGGGATGGCCAAACTCAGCAGGCAGGAGCCAAATGGAACAATGAGTTCAACAGCCTGGCGCTAGGTTGGGTTAGCCAGCAGAGGATCAGGATTGGGGTCACCTGAACAAAGGAGCCTTGTTCTCCCTGGTCCTTGGCTGTGATGTAGTGAGAGAGATACTTTTGTTGACAAAGAAAAAAGAAAAAAATGGTGTCCTGTTCCCACCCCTTATCCAGGTCCTCTCACCATGCAGGTGTGGGTCTTTGGGAATATGGACATGTCTATATGTCTGTGTGTCCAGGGTTAGACAGTACCCTTGGGTTAGAAGAAGCCGTGTTCTTCCATTGGATTTGATGTGCTTTGGTCTGTGTGAACTAGCCAGGGCATTCTATGAAACCTGGATCAGAAAGCTGCTCTGTCCTTCCCTCTTGCATTGCCTCCTCTGTGCTTGTACCCTATTTTCTCAGTCTTAGCTGGGTTGACGTTTTGAGAAACAGACTGTCATTAGTGTACGGCAGGTCCATCTGGTGTTGTTCTTCAGAGTGGAAGCCGACTTCCAGGACTCCAGATGGGGCAAATGTGAGTGGGTCAGCTTCCAAAGAAATCACTCTTCTGTTGTTGGTTTTTTTTATTATTATTATTTCATTTTGTTTTTAGGTTTGTTTTGGTTTTTGTTTGTTTGTTGTTTTGTTTTTGGTTGGGTTGGGTTTTTGGTTGGTTGGTTTGTTGTTGGTTTTTGCTTGTTTTCTGATTGGCTGAGATTGTTTCTGTTTGCTTGCTTTGAGCCAGGGTCTCACTAGCCCTGGCTGACCTGGAACACACTATGTAGAGCAGTCAGACATTGGGGTGGTAATGATTCTCCTACAGCCACCTCTTGATTGCTGGGGTTACAGGTAGATGCCACCAGGCCCAGTTGACAGTTACTTTTGCCATCATGCTCTGACTAGCCTGTACAAATTCATGAACATGTGTTTCAGTTGTGGAGTGGTTCTCATGCTCTCCTGTACAAATTCATGAACATGATTTCCCAATGTTGGCCCAGAGCTACAAGAAATCCCAGTGTAGTGGATACTTTGCCTTTTTCTGCAACAAAATATCCCGAGGAAATTAAGGAAGGAAGAGCTTATCTTGGCTCACAGTTCAAGGATACAGTCCTTCATGGCAGGGAGGTCATGGTGGCAGAGCCTGAGGCAGCTGGACACAACCTCTGATGTCAGGAAGTAGACAGTTATGAATACATTGCTAGCCTCCCCTTCTCCATTTTTGTTCAGTCTGGAAACCAGCCATGGAACAGTGCTGTTCACAGGCACAGGACTTCCTGACTCCAGTTGACCTAATCATGCCCAAGGCTTTTCTCTGGGTGATTTTTGATCCTGTCAAGTTGACAGTCAGCAATAACCACCATCCCCAACCTTTCCAGTCAGACTGCCCAAATAGTTCTCAGCAAACTCACTTGACTGTAAGACTCAACTTCTGATGATGCCAAAGGAATATATTGACCCTGGGATCTCCTGGCCCAGGAAGAACCTCAAAATTCTATGTGATCTAGATTTTAAAATGTAGTAGGCATTAAACTAGTATCATACTAGTTATCAAGTGATTAATTGATTAGTTGACTATAAGTTAGGCTTAAGAAACTTAAAACAGGGCTAGAGAGATGGCTCAGAGGTTAAGAGCACCGACTGCTCTTCCAGAGGTCCTGAGTTCAATCCCCAGCAACCACATGGTGGCTCACAACCATCCATTATGAGATCTGGTGCCATCTTCTGGTGTGCAGATATACATGGAAGCAGAATGTTGTATTCATAATAAATAAATAAAATAAAAAAGAAACTTAAAACATAATTTTCCCTAGAAGCTGAGCGAACATGGACCTTGTAATGAGACCTGTCTCAAAAAACATACGTTTACATCCTCCAGGGATAGTGTGCTGCATAATGATCAAAATCCTAGATAGCCCACAAAGTCCTGATCAGCCCATAATATAGTTTAAATTTTAATTTCTAGAAGCAGAAATTAACTTGATGTGAACTATAAAATTGCGTCTGGAAAACAGTTGTTTGATTTTGAATTCAATATAGGAGGGACATTTCTCCCCTGCTCTCCTTACTGTAGTTTCAGAAAAAGACTTTACGTTCAGACAGCATTTTAAAATAGTTCCTTTGTGTGTCTTGTGTCATCTACAATAACAACCAGTGTAGTTCTGAGAACTCAGCCTCACACTGTCTTCCAGGATGTAGGCTTTTGGGGCCAGGGGTGTCTCCTGACACTGGGCCTAAACAGCTAAGCTCCAGGTTTTGTCAGCAGCATGAAAGGAGCCCCTAAGTAGGGGTCAAGAAGAGGACACTGTGCCCACCTCCAGGCACCATGGCAACCGTTCTGTGTGTCAGAAGCATTTTGTAGTTCAGAGCTGACTTGGGCACCACAGCACCAATAAAGTCTCAGAAGTCTACTGTGAAAGAGATTTCCTGCAAACCATTTATTCCCCTTTTGTACATTGTACAAGCAGGTCACCAATCCCCATGTTGACATTGTCCCATCCCTCTGTAGGTGAAAAGCATGGCGCAGTACGTACATAACCTGGATAAACGTGACAGTTTTCGGAGGACTCGTTTTTCTGACCGCTTCAAAGATGACATAACGACCATTGTGAATGTGGTCACCTCGGAGATTGCAGCCCTTTTAGTGAAACCTCAGAAGGTAACTGTCTCTTCACTTTCTAAATTGTTTGCCATGAATGTGTTACTTTAATAAGCAGAAAAAAATCTGCTCATTGGAAAACAGTAGTTAAAATATAACAGCAGTTAAATATGCTGGACAAGCCCCTAAGGTATGGCTGGAGAGAGCTGTAAAGAAATTACAGTATGATTTTTTGGGTTTTTTTTTAAGATTTTATTATTTATTATGTATACAACATTCTGCTTCCTTGTATATCTGCACACCAGAATAAGGCAGCAAATCTCATAACGGATGGTTGTGAGCCACCATGTGTTTGCTGGGAATTGAACTCAGGACCTCTGGAAGAGCAGCCAGCACTCTTAACCTTTGAGCCATCTCTCCAGCCCCCCATTTAAATGTTTTTATCAGACAAAATACTCTTTCTCTTGGGAGGTACAGCCTGGTCCTGTCAGGTAAATAGGGTGATATTTATCACCTACTTGAAAAGGGTTTCAAAAAGTATTTTTTTTTATGTACAAAGAATGGTAATAATTTGCAGTTTGCAAAAGCTAAGTATCAGTGACTTGTTGGTATGATTCTTGTACCAATCTTGAAATCACATACATACACACACTAAATCCACAATTAAAGTGTGTGTATGTATGTGTGTGTATACACACACACACACACACATATATATACATACACACATATACATATATTTGCACATACATGTATGTATAATACACACATACATATACATATATACATTCATATATATATACATATACATATGAATTTAATGGGCCAGCGAGATGGCTCAGGGAGTAAAGGTACTTGCTGCCAAGATTGATGACCTGAGTTCAGTTCCCAGAACCTACCTGGAGAAAGTGGAGCTCTGACTCTTACACATTGTCTCCTGATCTCCACATAGGCACCACAACTCACACTTAACCACCACCACACAAAGAAATAAGTGTAATCCAGATTTCTTTTTTTTCTTTTTCTTTTTTTTTTTCAAGACAGGGTCCCACTATGTAGCTCTGGCTGTCCTGGAACTCACTATGTAAAAATCTTATAGATAAGAGTGCTGAGAAATAATAAAAAAGAAGTAAAAACCAAACAAAAAACAAAGAATAGCCTGGTCTCAGTTCACCCTCCCAAGTGTGACTCTGACATCTTTCAGGCTGAGAACCCTGCCTAACTGGAAAAGAAAAAAATTCTTAAGCCGTTTTATCCTGACTGGATTTTATGTAATAATCCTTACAAATTATTAATCTTCTCCCGAGGCTGGAGGAATGGTTCAGCAGTCATGCCTACTTGCTGGTCTTACAGAGAAGACCAGGGTTCAGTCCCAAAAAAACCAAGTGATGGCTCACAGAATATTCATACACATAAAATAAAATACATAATTCTAAAAAATGTTTTAAATCTATTTCTTTGAAGACAGTGAATGCAATTCAAGTTAACTTGCACACTCCACTCCCACCCACCCCCAAACAAAACAGTTTTGGCCAGGTATGATGGCAAAGGATTTAGGAGGCTGAGGCGAGAGGATCAGGAGTTCAAGGCCAGCCTGGACTAGATGGCATGACTCCATGTTAAAAACCAAAAAAATAAAAAATAAAATTTCAGTGCCCCAAATTGTATACATAGATTAGGGTTGATTATATATTTACAATTATACATGTACAAAACAGGAGGAGTGAAGAAAAAACTACTCTAAACATTCAACATCACCCAGAAGGGTGGTGGACCAATATAATAGCATCGTCCTCTCCCAGTGTCCACACCAGTGACCTGGGAGTTCCTGTCCAGGACCCAACAGTATGATTTGTATGCTCTGTGCTCATTTTAAAGGAAAGTGAACAGGCGGAGAAGATCAACATCAGCCTGGCTTTCTTCTTGTATGACCTTCTCTCACTCATGGACAGGGGCTTCGTGTTCAACCTCATCAAGCATTATTGCAACCAGGTGAGTGCCCTTGGAGCTCACTGTTCAGCAGTTCCCTTCTCCCTGTACGCGTGCGCGTGCGCTCATGTGCGTGCATGTGTGTGCATGCAGTGTGAGCCCTACACATCTTGAACTTTCACCCTGTCTGTGCAGTATGTAGGTTCTTTAGCCACACTGGATCACCTGGATTCCTGGAGCATGTATCAAAGCTGTCAACAAGTCAATATGAGGAAACTGAAATTACTAAGCAACATGATTTCTCTTAGTTACCATTTAAGAGAAATTACAGGACTGTGTGTTTAATCTTTGACCAGAGCACTCAAGGTCTGGGATTGGGAAGATGGCTCAGTAGCTAAAGTGCTTGTTCTGCAAGCATGAGGACCTGAGTTTGGAGCCCTGGCACCTACCTAAGAGCTGGCAATGTATGCAAATTACCTCAGTGCTCCTGGAGACAGATTGGAAGTGGAGATAAGCATAGATAGGCAGATACCAGGGGTTTGCTGGGAAGCTGTAGAAGAAAATAACTGACATCAACTCCTGGCCTGTACACACAAAAACGCGCGCGCACACACACACACACACACACAGAGAGAGAGAGAGGAGAAGGGACACACACACACACACACACACACACACAGAGAGAGAGAGAGAGGAGAAGAGGAGAAACCAGAATATGAGGTTTCTTTTCACTTGTTAGGATTGTTAATTAAATTGTGGTTATGGAATTCTAATGTTAAAAAACCCAATGAACTCAGTGATTGAATTCCCAGGAACCCAAAAGCACATATTTTTTAATGCAGCACAACATATCAGTGTTAACTCTTCCCCAGAGGTTGTTTTTGTTTGAAGACAGGATCTCACTGTGTAGATCTGGCTAGCCTCAAACCCATAGAGATTGGCTTGCCTCTGCCTTAGTGCTGGGATTAAAGACTTGTACCACCATGCCCAGCTTTCTCCCCAAAGTTCTGAATGTAGTTCTTTGAGTGTCCCCTTCAGAATTCCTAGCAATAAGAATATAAGCAGCAGTTATTGTTGCCACTTCTCTCCTTCTTTCTATATTTCTTGTCTTCACCATGGCCACCATGTCTGCTGCTAATACCACAACCACAACAACCGTCCCCCCCTTCCAAGCTGTCATCACCATCATCACTCTCAATAGTAATGTAACAGCTTTAAATCTCTGTTTCTGTGGCTATCCTTTCCTTGTTTGTAAAATTCAAGGACTCTCCTCTGTGGAGCTTTGAGGATTATGGTACCTTATCCAGGAGAAAGGTGTGACCAGAAAAGACTGTGACACGGGAGCTTCACTGGGCAGGCTGCATGAGTGGAAAAGCCCTTACCAGTGAGACCATTCAGAGGCTTCAAGTGAGGGGCCACCAAGCATCCAGGAGACCAGGAACTTCTAAAGAAGTGTGGCCAGAGCTCAGGCTTGTGTGTGTGTGAGTGTCTATGTGTGTCTGTGTCTGTGTCTGTCTGTGTGTGTGCCTATCTGTCTCTCACTCTGAGTGTCTGTGTGTGTCTGTGTGTTTGTGACTGTGTGTGTGTGCCTATCTGTCTCTCACTCTGAGTGTCTGTGTGCGTCTATATCTGTGTGTTTGTGTCTGTGTGTGTGTGCCTATCTGTCTCTCACTCTGAGTGTCTGTGTGCGTCTATATCTGTGTGTTTGTGTCTGCAAATTGCCAAAACTTCACACACAGAGAAAGGAGTAAGTTTCAGATCCCTCTGCAGTGTGTTTCAATAACCATTGAAGGGATACATGTAGAATCAAGTGTGACAGAGCCCACCATGCAGGAGGTGGAGAAAAGATGGTCAGTAATCCAAGGTGTGTGTGTGTGTGTGTGTGTGTGTGTGTGTGTGTGTGTGTGTGTGTGTGTGTAGTGTTGGAAGGGGGATGACAGGTGAGGTTCTGCAGCACAGTGGGGAATCTGGGTCACAGAGCTGGACGAGCTGTAAGCGCCTAATGGCTGCAAGTCTCTACCTTCCCAGTAGGAAACAGCTGTGCAGTGGGGCTCATGAGCTCTGCAGCGTAGGTGTTGGGGGCTGGAGGTCTGCATTTGAGCTGCTCTTGATGTTTGGGTTGAGAGACTAGCCTTTAACAGATGAGTCATCTCTGCAGCCCATTGAGCTGCTCTTGAAAAAGAAACCCAGGAAGACGCCTGTCTTTGTAAACCCACTGCTGTTGTTCAGTTTCACACAGGAAATGCGATGCAGCTGTGGAGAGGTCTGTCCGGTTCTGGGCTTGGGACTGCTAATGCGCTGAACTGCACAGTGAGCACTTGGCAGATGTTGGTGGCTATATCATTTAAAACACTTCATAAATTCTCATTAGTCAACCATAAGTTCCGACTACAACTATCAAGTGGCAAACTTTAATCCCAGCATTCACAGAGGCAGAGGCCTGTGAGTTCAAGGCCTGCCTGGTCAATATAGAGAGTTTAGGGATAACCAAGGACACATAGTGAAACCTCATCTCAAAAATAAAGGGGGGGGGGCAGAAGATCCCTATCAAGTAATTTCTTCTTAATTGAAAACTGTAAAGTATAGTATTGTATCTAACAAGAGTTAGCAGTCTAGCAATACTATTAAATAATTTAGCTGCAATGCTTTTAAGTATTAAATTATATATCAAACAGCTCATGTGCATTTGAGATTACAAATAAGACATATTTTAAAGTTATATTAGTAATGTCTTAACTTGAAGATTTCTTATTAGTGGAGTTAAAATAGTTTGAATTTCCTACTGTAATTTTTCTTGTGTTCTTCTTCCACTACATAAATGCATTATTTTATAATCATAAAATAAAAATGGTTTTAATGCTTTCAAATTTTTATTTTAAAATTGATGGATCTATTAATATTTTTATTAAGAAATTATTTGACCCACAATATTTTTATGTTTGGTTAGGGTGTTCTTTTCATATATCTGAAAGTTGAAGTCATTTCTGTCCTAAACAAAATTATCTGCTTTGAAACTTTCCTGGGGAGTCTATTCATAAACTTTCCTGGGGAGTCTATTCATAAATTTTTGCACCCTAAAAATTTGAAGATTAATCCGAACGGGCAAATTTTAGGATGGTCAAGAAAAGATAGCCTTGCTGAGTGGTGATGGCACACACCTTCAATCCCAGCACTCAGGAAGCTGAGGCAGACAGAGCTCTGCAGGTTCAAGGCCAGCCTGGTCTACAAAGCAAGTACCAGGACAGCCAGAACTGGTACACAGAGAAATCCTGTGTTGAAAAAGAGGTGGATGGGGAAGGATAACTGATTTTAATATGAGTCCTTTAAATACTATGGAGATTTGGTAATGAATATTAAAATATGTCATAAGCATTGATGATTTAAAAATTCTTTCAGTAAAATATGAAATGCTCACTGTCTAAATCCATATGGGGTATAGGAGATGAGAGTTAACATTAAAATGTGCTGTGTTTTATATGTTACCATGTTCAAAACACAGCACTTAATATTTGTCAACATGCTTTCATAAAAGTAAATCCTAAATTACTAAGGTTTATATAACTTTGTTCTGTTTCTCATACTTTTCAAATCATTATGATGAATTACTTCTTTTGTATTAGAAATCCCCTTAAGTGCTCAAAAAAAAAAACTATTTGAGGCTGATTTTCAAATAATTGAATGTGTAAAAATTCAAGTTTGGTGTATGCTGGTGCCAGTTCTGAGGAAGTGTGCACACAACTTAGAGTCGACACACAAAGATGGTCCCTGGCTTATTTCTATAACACCCCTTTCTACCCAAAGTACATCAACCCCAGAGTTACCCCAAAGAATGCCCTGGGTAAGAAGAGAATCCTTCACCTCCAACTGCCTGTCCCTGTGGAAGAGCCCACCAGAGTAAATAACAGTAAACACTATGGAACTGCTGGGCTCCAAGGCACTGTGTGCATATCAGATACAAGTCCATCTGCTTTCAAAGCTTTAAGATACATGTGGGAAAGGTGAGCCTAGAACAGCAGGACTTAGAGAGCTGTGCAGGATGAACTGTTTTTCATTCAAAATGGAAGTAAAGCCATCCACAGCACACAGCCACCTGCCCTGCCCAGTACCCGCTTCAACTGTCACTTTATCACTTTTTGGTGGTGGTTTTTAGTAGAGTTGTCAGAAGATGTGTTCAGTTGTGCTATGTTGAGGACATATCTTCACAGGTTTGCTATGACATTGATTAGACACCGTTGAAAGTGGGAAGAGTTCTCGTTTGGGGCTGCTGTTAGGAATAGTAGTAAATGAAAGCTCGATGGGGCTCCCAGAATGGTGTCTGTTGCTCTCTCAGATTAACTTTTACTCAAATTGATGTCTTACTGGGCAGAGAAAGAATGTTAGTGTCTGTTAAACTCAACTCCAGTTATCCTGTCCTCAGCATTTATTTCCTCTGTGTATTTCCTTCTAGCTATCAGCCAAGCTCAATACCCTTCCAACACTCATTTCCATGCGGCTGGAGTTCCTGAGAATCCTCTGTAGCCACGAACATTACCTCAACCTGAACCTCCTCTTCATGAATACAGATACTGCACCAGCCTCTCCCTGTCCCTCCATATCCTCCCAGGTAATCCACTGACCGAAGGAAAGAATCAAGCTAGTTTATTAATTAGCTTAGTTGAATCGTTCATCTCCTGTGAATATTGGTCTTAGTAATTAGAGGAAAAATCAAGCTATTCAAACCAGATCAATTGATCCAGATATGGACAATAGGCTACCCTGAAGCTGTAGCATCTGAACAGACCGTTTACAAAACAAGTAGTTTGTCTCAAGGGTCCATAATGAGTCTGACTATATAGGAAGGAATCTGTAAGTCTAGAAAATGAGGAAACTTAGATAAGTCTCAAGTCCTCCTTTGTTGGTATTAACGGATTGTTATACAATATATTATGTAAATACAGGGTTAATATATTTGCAAGTACAGGGTTCCAAAGTCAAGTGAGAGTTGGAAACTCCTTTAACCTCGTTTCTTTGTCAAACGCCTTGGAAAGGAAGAGGTGCTGGAAGGGGAGGGGAGTTTGAGAAGTAATGATTCCCAACATGATTTGACTGTGGAAATGGCCTCACCCCCCCACCATGGGTTTCTCAAGGAATTAATGTCCTCTAGAAAATGTTATTTTACAGTCACATTCTGCATATGGGAAACAAATCAGATGTTCAGAGCAGCAGGTAGGATATCTCAGGATAGGATTAGATTCTATTCTGTTGTATATCCTTGATCCTAGCACAAAGGTAAGGGCTTATCTAATTAATTTCTTATTAATGAGAGGCACAGTGATATGCACCTGTAATTCCAGGACTCAGAGGCTGAGGAGGATCGCCTGAGTCCAAGAGTTCCAGATCAGCCTGAGCAATGTAGGAAGCCTCATCTCTAATAATAGTAATAATAGTCATTGTAGTAGTTAAAATAAGAAGTTAGCTTAGCTGTCTGTCCCAGATGGTACACTTGAAGTTAGCTACATGACTGTCATAATGTGACCCGGGACACACATGACTTACAAGGACCAATTCCAAATGCATCACCATCTGTCTGCTATAGTTTCTTCTGTGGCATGAATCCTATGACCTACCCCATATTGACCTTGCCCTGGGTCCTCTCCCCACATTCCTCTCCTGGCCGCCCCAAAGAGTTGACAGGACTTTACACAGCAAAGTGCAAGGACTTAATGGAGACACATATTTCTGCTGCCCTTGGTGAAGGATGCCATGCTCCTAGAGTAAGAACACAGGACAGGAGTGGCCTAGGGTTGCCAATTCTGGCAGTTTTGTGCCAGATACCACTTCTGGCTCAGGCCAGCAACGTCCAGAAAGTGTTCTCAGGCAACCTTCAAAAAAGGTGCTGGGAAAACAGGCTATAGCGTGGGGCTGGGTGCAGTCCTCATTTCTCTGTCTACATTTATCCTGGGCTGCTTATTCATCTGCAACTTTTGATATCAGGTGAGCAAGGAGGGTATTAACTGATATTTTCTTTTCCCCCTTGTTTTGCTGTTTTGTGAACTCAGCAATGTTAGGCACACTCTCTACTGTCGAGCTCTACCCCTAGCCTAGTTTCCCAACAGGCCCTGTGTGCTTTGTTCTCATGTTAGCCAGTCAGTGCATGCAGTATCTGGCCAGAGCTCTGCAAATGCAAGCCAGGGCTGTTTGGATTCCAGTTCCTAATACTCATCAAGCTGATGTTTGTACTTTGTAGAACTCAAGCTCCTGCTCCAGTTTCCAGGACCAAAAGATTGCCAGTATGTTCGACCTGACCCCGGAGTACCGGCAGCAGCACTTTCTCACGGGGCTCCTCTTCACAGAGCTGGCTGTCGCCCTGGATTCTGAAGGGGATGGGTAAGTGTCCCACACCTAAAGTGGAACATGAAGAAAAAAATATTAATGAGGTTTCCAGTCAACTTCTTGTGTGTGTAACAAGACCCCAGAGCTCCCACTTGCTAGTTCCAAGCAGAAGCACTCTTGTCTTCATGGTTCATGGAGTATATAGACGGGCAAGGGGTTTAGAGGATCTGTGAAATGGCCTTGTTTTTACTGCACTAGGAATTGAACCCAGAGCCTCACACACACATAGGTGTGCACTCTACCACTGAGGCTCATTCACAGCCCCCAAATGACTTTTTTGGGGGGGTTCAAGACAGGGTTTCTCTGCGTAGCCCTGGCTGTCCCAGAACTCTCTTTGTAGAGCAGGCTACCTGAAACTCAGAAATCCACCTTCCTCTGCCTCTGGAGTGCTGGGAATAAAGGCATGCACCCACCAAGCCCACCTCAGAATGGGTTCTTTTTTTTTCTTTTTTTAAAAATTTATTTATTATGTGTACAGTGGTCTGCCTACATGTAGGCCTGCAGGCCAGAAGAGGGCACACAATCTCATTACAGATGGTTGTGAGACACCATGTGGTTGCTGGGAATTGAACTCTGGACCTTTGGAAGAGCAGGCAGTGCTCTTAACCACTGAGCCATCTCTCCAGCCCTCAGAATGGGTTCTTAAAGTCTCCTTTTGAGCAGAGTTTACAGAGAATGCTTTGTTAGTGAATTTCCTAGGGAAAACCGTTTTGCAAGAGGGCTGCTGAGGAGAACCCAGGGCCTTGCACATGCTAACCATGAGCTCATCCACTAAGCTCACCCCCAGCCCTTCAAGGTCACTTTTGACAAGGTGAGTACACCCAGAGGAAATACCAAGATGCCACTGCCCAAAGCTGGCAAAGGAAGTGATAGCTAATAAGAAAGCAGCTGTCCTGTGTCTAGATTACACTTCTTGTGGACAAGCCTCCCCAGGCCAAGAGAGATGCTACCGGCACGGTTCTTGTGAATCCTCTCCTCGTGTGTATCTGAGCACTGCGTGTATGGCAGTGTGGGGCCACGGCTCACATTCCATCATCATCTCTCTACTCTAACTGAATTCCAGCTTTCCCAGTAGAATTTTCTGTCCTGTAACTAACATATTTTCTCAGCAACAAAATGCACTGCGTGTATGGCAGTGTGGGGCCACGGCTCACATTCCATCATCATCATCTCTCTATTCTAACTGAATTCCAGCTTTCCCAGTAGAATTTTCTATCCTGTAACTAACATATTTTCTCAGCAACAAAAAAGTGCCCTAGGATAGTTGCTGATAAATAAGGTCCTGAGAGAAGAAAGTTTGAAAACAGAAAAAAATTGCCCCTGATTTTATTTTCTTAATTGCTTCTTAATAAATATTACAGCTTCAAGTGATTTCTGAGAGTATCTCTTGTGTTCACATTAGCAGTAGTTTTTGATTTTCTATTTTTGTTCCACTTGGAAACAGGCCTGACATCTGTTTCTGATCCTTGTAAAATTGTTGGGGTATTACTGGCAATAAGGGAGAGTTTGCAGGGAGATGGTGTAATTATGTCTAATAAGGTTGACACAGTCTTCAAACGCACCCAGAGAGGAACTAATTAGCAGCTTCAGTGTCTGGGCAGCACAGCCATCCCTCATTTACTTTCCTAAAAAGCCATTGGAAATACTGTCAGGACTGCAGTATGTAGGCTAAACCTTAGAAAACTGCCACCCTTTAGCACAGCTCCCCAGTGGTCAGTGTGCCCTTTAGCTGTTAAAGATTCACCCACACCTGCCTCAACTCTAGTGGGGCAAGGGCTCATGGGATCTATCTCTAGCCCCACAAGAGCAGCCACAGCGATCTTATACTTGGGTTTATCCGTAAGTGTCCATGCTTCAGTAAATCAAGTGACCTTCGAGCATTTGGAGCATTTGCCTCGTGTCTTTGTGTTAACTGGCAAGTGCAGCACCTGTCCAAAAGACAGCCGCACTGCTGGAGCCAACAGGCTGAGTGTCAGAACTAGAATACCTTCCAAGCTGGGTGTGGTGGCTCATGCCTCTAATCCCAGCACTCAGAAAGCTGAGGCAGGCAGATCTCTGTGTTCAAGGTTAGCCTGGCCCACAGAGCAAGTTTCAAGATAGCCAGGACTGCGTAAAAAAAGGACACCTTACAAAATGAAGTTTATAGTTGCCTATTTAGTGGAAGAATCTAGGTTAATTGAAAATTTGTTGATATTTTCTACCTCCTCCTGGATTCTGATGTAGCATTATTTTACTTGAGGGAAAGGAAAATAGGCTTTTTTGGAGATGGAGAAGTTATGCTTTTGAAGTTGAATTGCCATGGCTATGCTCTAAATGCTATTCTGCATGCATGGTTTTATTTATTTTTATTGAAGTATAACTTACATACAGTAAGGGACCTTAAACATAATTGTGACATGCAATGGTTTTTCACTACAAATGCTCTTTAAGTAGCCACAGGGGACTTGTAGGACTCCAGAATATTCTGTTACCCCTCTCAGTCACAGTCCTCGATCCAGGTAACCACTATTCTGACCTGTGCCACCAGAGACTGGCCTTACCAATTGTGGAACTTCACATTCTTTACTGAACATTGTGCTGTGAGCACCTTGGTATGACTGCACATGTTTCTTTTTATTTCAACTCTGTGACTTTGTGTAGAAACAGTACAATTTGTCTGCTAAAAAATGAACATTTAAAAGTTTCTGGTTTGAACTTTTACTGAAAACTAAAGAGGGGTGAGGGCAGCAAGTTGGCTCAGTGGGTTAAAGGTGCTTGTGTGATGTCACATAAGCTTAACGTCTGAGTTCCATCCCCAGAATCCAATAAAGGTGAAAAGACAGAAACGATTCCACTGAGTTGCCCTCTGACCTCTACACATGCACACACAACAATAATAATAATTTTTTAAGTAAAAGTTGCTATTTTATTTCGTTTTGTTTTGTTTTTTGAGACAGGGTCTTGCTATATAACCCACTGCCTCCAATTCAGTAATACTCGGCCTCCTGAGTGCTAGAGAATACTATATGCCTTTTTGCCTATCTAGAAGTCATTTCCTTTCTTTTTAAATTGCGTTTATTTATTTGTTTTGATGGGAGCACGTTTATGACTACACACATGGAGGTCGGTGGACAATTTGCAGAAGTCAGTTCTTCCACCGTGTGGATCTTAGGGATCAAAATCGAGGCTTTAGGTTTGGCAGAAGATACCTTTACTGGCTGAGCCATCTCAGTGGCCCTAGAAGTCACTTCTTTGGGCTATAAATACAGTTGACTTTTTAGTTTTAATTTTAACTTATTATTTTTGAGTAAGTAAATATGTGTGTGTGATTATTGTGCTGGTTAGATTTCCTTTACTTCCTTCCTTTCTTTCTTTTCTCCCCTTTGGATTTTTGAGAGAGGGTTTCTCTGTGTAACCACCCTGGCTATCCTAGCATTCATTTTGTAGACCAGGCTGACCTTGAACTCACAGTTCTCGGCCTCCCGAGTGCTGGGATTAAAGGCGTGCACCACCATTGCCTGGCCTCTTTCTTTTTTTCCTTCTTTTTTGTTTTTTATTTTTGTTTTTTTGTTTTTTGTTTTTTGAGACAAGGTTTCTCTGTGTAACAGTCCTGGCTGTCCTGGATCCTCGAACTCGCTCTGGAGACCAGGCTGGCCTCTAACTCTCTGAGATCCACCTGCCTCTGCCTCCCAAGTGCTGGGATTAAAGGCGGTATGCACCACCACTGCCCAGCCTTCCTTCCTTCCTTCCTTCCTTCCTTCCTTCCTTTTTTTTTTTCTTTTTTGTCAACTTAGCACAAGCCTGGGTCAGCTGAAAAGAGGAAATATGAATTGAGAAATTACTTACATCGCATTGTCCGGTAGGGAAATCATTTTCTTAATTATTAATGTGGAATGACCAAGCCCAAACTGGGCAGTGCCACCCAAGGCAGTGGTGGTTCTGAATTATATAGGAAGGTAGCTGAGCATGAGCCTGGAAACAAGCAACAAGCCACATGGTACCATGGTCTCAGCTTCCGTTCCTGCCACAGGTTCCTGCACTGGCTTCACTCAGTGATGGACTGTGACCAGTAAGCCCTAGAAACAATGAACAAAAGAGGTGAGGACACTTGTCAGCTCCTTCTCTGAAGCTGTCGTTACCCCGAAACTCAGTCCAGATGTCAGAAGGTCTGACGAAGGCAGATGAAAAGTCACCAACACTAGCACACAGAATGCAACAGCAGACGAGATTTTACTCCATTAGCGCTGATCTTGGGAAGGCAGAATTAGTTCAGCATCTGACACTCAGGTGAGCAGATGCTCCAAAGTATGGATAAAGGAAAAAACTGCTCAGTCATTTTTTTGGTTTTTTAAGACAGAGTTTCTCTGTGTAGCCCTGACACCAGGAAGGGAAAAAAAGTGAGCAGTGCATGAGAAACAAAACAAGGTCATCTTCTTGCCTCCAAATGCTCATCCATATGTGTACACATGCACATACTGTCCTGGAAGTTGCTCTGTAGATCAGGCTGGCCTCAAACTCAGAGATCACCTGCATCTGTCTCCCAGATGCTGGGATTAAAGACATGCATCATCACCACCTGGACACCGCACAATCATTTTAACAGATGCAGGAAAAAGCACTGGAGTGTGGTTCTGCTGCCTAGAAAGTGCTAATCACAGAGAACTTACTCAGCATCATCCCGGCCTCTGGAAAACTCACAGCTCACCTGACCACTCGTGGAAGACAAGCTTTCCCCCTAAGACCAGGAACAAAGAAAACCTTCCGTGTCTGTCACTGCTGTTTGGCCTTGTACTAGGAGTTCTGTCTAGGACAAAAGACATGAAAGATTGGATATTAGAAGCAAAACATCTCCATTCTCATACACAGCCTGGTGTTATGTATAGAAAATTTTAAGTCAGTAATTCAAAAACCTCTTTGGGTTTATCAATATGGTTGCTGGGTACAAGGCCAATATAAAAATCAGTTGTATTTATGTATATTTGTGATAAACGGCCTGAAAATGAAATTAAGGGAACAGTGCTATTTAAACCCCCCAAAGGAATGGAGTACTCAAGAAGAAATTCAGCAAAGTATAAGGCTTGTGCACTGAGAACCACAGAACAGTGTTGCCAAAAGAGAGCTACATAGTACACCTCACCTGTTCATGTGTCAGCGCATACAATACTGCTGGGGTGGCGCTATTCCATAAGCTGACCTGGGGATTTGATGCAGTGCCTCTCAGAATTCCAGCTGACTTCACTGCAGTAATTAAGCTCTTCCTAAAATGTGTGTGGAAAGTCAAGTAAACCAACGTAGCCAAAACAAAATTTACAAAAGAATACATTTGGAAGATACACATTCCTCATCTTAAAATTTACTACAAAGCAAAACTACTTGAATTTATGGTTCTAAAACACAAATAGACACATCAGTCAATACAATCAAATTAAGAATCCAGAAGTAAGATGCAGATGGATCTCTGTGAGTTTGAGGCCAGCCTGGTCTACAAAGTGAGTTCTAGAGCAGCCAGGACTGTTACACAGAGAAACCCTGTCTCAGGAAAAAAAAAAAAAAAAAAAAAAAAAGGATGCAGAAATAAATTTTAAGCCAGGAGTTGGTGGTACACACCTTTAATCACAGCACTCAGGAGGCAGAGGCAGGAGGATCTTTGTGAGTCTGAGGCCAGCCTGGTCTACAGAGAGAGTTCTAGGACAACCTCCAAAGCCCTGTCTCAAAAAACTAAACTAAACTAAATAAATAAAAAGAAATTTAAATCTTTTTCTGTTTTGTTTGTTTTTGTTTGTTGAAACAAAATCTTACTGTGTAGCCCAGGCTAGCTTCAAACCTATGATCCTATTGCCTCAGTCTCCCAAATACTATGCCACCCGAGCTATACCTAAAATTTTTGTTTGTTGACACAGGGTCTCTAGCTGTCCTGGAACTCAATATGTAGACCAGGCTAGCCTCAGACTCACAGAAATTTCTTGCCTCTGCCTTCTGAGTGCTGGAATTGAAAGCATGTACCACCATGAGCAAAAAGTTGATACAGACATTTTCCAAAGAAGGTGTGATCATAAGCACATGAAAAGATGTTCAAAATCATTAACAGTCAGGCCGATGCTTCATTAAAACCAAGATTAAATACCACATCCTGCCTACTAGGATGGTTATGATAAAAAGACAGACAGAGAGGCTGACATGTGGCTAAATGGCAGAGTACTTGCCTAGCATGTGCTAGGACCTGGGTTCAATCCCCAGCATTAAAAGCAGCAGGCAGGGAGAGAGGGAGGGAAAAGCAGAAAGAGAGAGAGAGAGAGAGAGAGAGAGAGAGAGAGAGAGAGAGAGAGAGAGAGAGAGAAGCCAGATGGTAGTCCCAGCACTCAGGAGGCAGAGACAGGCAGATCTCTGAGTTTGAGGCCATTCTGGTCTACAGAGCAAGTTCCAGGACAGCCCAGGCTACACAGAGACACCCTGTCTCTACCTCCCAATAAAAGAGAGAGATGATGATGATGATGATGATGATGATGATGATGATGACAGTAAAGAAGACAGATAATAGAGCATTCATACACTGCTGCTGGGAATGTGACATGGTGAAGAAATCATGAAATGTGTCTTAGTCCTTTAAAGGTAAAGAGCTAGCTATTGTTCCAGTGGTTTTACTGAGAGACATACCCAAGAGATACATACTTATACTTGCCCAAAAACCAGGAGCATCCATCATTCACGAGAGTCCCAAAGTAAATGAAATTATTCTCTGTGGACAATGGAATGTTTGTTATTCAGTATCCAAAAGGAGTGAAGTACTCATGTGATATGATGAACCTGAATACAGAAAGCTAAACAATAGAGCAGGATTGTAACACAGGCAGCCTCTCTTCTAGCCTGTTTTGCTTGCTTTTCACATTGTCACCGAACTGTTCAGGGTCATTTGGGGGAACTCTTTTGCTTGAGGGCACACAGCCTCCCTCACTGTAGCCTGGTTTTATGTCTCCAGAATCAGCAGAGTGCAGAGAAAAGCTGTGAGCGCCATCCATAGCCTCCTGAGTTCTCACGACCTGGATCCACGGTGTCTCAAACCAGAAGTCAAGGTTAAGATCGCTGCCCTTTACTTGCCCTTGGTCGGCATCATTCTGGACGCCTTGCCACAGCTCTATGACTTTACAGGTAAGGACCTTCTGTTTCCTGTCTGAGATCAGTGAGGCCCTGCCAGATGTCCCTCACACAGAAAGCAAGGTCTCTCACCAGCTCTAGTGTGGATGGCTTGTGTGGGTGACGCTTCACAGCAGGGTCACTAGAGATTTCTTTGACCCAGACTGGTTTTTTTTTTGGAGGGGGGAGTTGAGACAGGTTTCTCTGTGACTTTGGAGCCTGTCCTGGAACTCACTCTGTAGACCAGACTGGCCTCGAACTCACAGAGATCTGCCT